GAGGGGGGTGTGAGGGCGGGAGCGGGGCCACCGCTGCCGTGGCCGGAGAACCAGCCCCCGAGCAGCTCGTCCCCCGGGGAAACGGGATGCCGTGCAAAAGGCCGTATCCACAAAATTAACGCTCTGATGTAGGAGTTCCCCTGCCCGCTGACTTTGGTGAGAGGTTCTGCTCGGGCAGGCACGCAGTCACGCTCCAAAAGCAGTGAAATCTCCGAGTAGTAGTGATAAAGAAGATTCAAGCTGCTCATGGCTCCTTAGATGTCATTGACGATCACTCTGCCTGCTCACCTGAAAGCGCATCTGTAGTTTCCTGCCCCAAAGAGGTCTTTTGCTTTTCACTTGCAGAGTGGCTGTAGCTGAGACATGCAACATCTATTACACCTGATGGGATTCTCTATTTTAAGTGTTTCTTTATGGATCTGCTCCAGCACGCAGTGCTTTTCAAAGAACGATTGTCTGTGTTTCTGAGTGACCTGCCTGGAAATCAGTGTTATTTGGATGGGGTTTCCATGGTTTTGGAAAAGCTCCTGAGACACATACATGAAAAGCATCTAGAGGCCATGTTTTAATGGATTAACACAGCAGGCTTGGCATCAAATCTTGCCAAGTGCCACTTTAGGCAGGCAACGCCTTATCCCTGGGTGCACAACTTTTCCATCATGACTGAAACCAGATCCAGCCTGGGTCTCTTCAGTTACACATGCTCTGCCCCCAGAGAAATCCCAAACACTCTTTTCCATCTCCTACACTGTGGTTTGCAGAGTGATTCCCTAAATACACTTTGGGCATGGGCCCATTAAAAATGTTACTTTGCAATTTCTTATGGATAGATGCTGTCCAAGATCAAATCTTTGTTGACTCCAGCTGTAAGTGCTGGTGCCTCACTGAATTTGAAGCTATGTTTGCTGAAATTTAAGGAGATTATATTGGGAAGGGCCATGTACTTGCTTCAAGAGTACCAACAAAAGTTAAGAGCAGGGATTCCACTGGTTATCTCAATTTCCTCATGTTGCCCCTTCTCACACAAGTATGGCACTTAAAACTTGAGAGAGAGGTGTATCTGAGGAGGAGAGGGGCTCTATGTACCACAAGGTGTCCTAAAAGTCCTTGAAGTGTTGTGTCACCAGAGCTCTAAGCACATGGAGTAGGTGGGAACAGGGAAACACTGTGTGTACTAGGAAAACTAAATGTGACAGCTCGGCTGAATTCTAGATCCAGGTTGTACAAAGCCAGTTTGTTCCCCAGTCTTTCTCATGATTTCCTGCACCATGTTTACTACTGGTATTATCCAAATAATTCAACGAGAATAAGAGTGAGCAATAGGTAGGCAGGTCCTTTAATTTAACCTTTTATTTGCTATATGTGCATGTTGTAATTTGAAGCAACACCCATCTCAGTTTTGGTTCTTGGTCATGGTGGTTTTCTTCCAAAAATATTGAAAAGATCCTTTGTTTTTGAGCAAATAGTGAGGATGACTGCATTGGGAAGGTGTTTGATAAAAGAAAGTGTCTGCATTGATGGAATTTGGATTATATTGAATATTGTTTGTTCACAGTCCAGTTATTGCAGCTGAACTCTTGTTTAATAGAAAAAAAAACCATAACCATGTAATTGGTGGACAATTCATTTGTCTAATTGTCAGTTTTTCTTAAATTATTCAGATACATTATTTTTGCTTTTATTCTGTACTGAATACTGTGTAGGAATAAGGGGTCAGAGCTAAAAAGGAAGAGAAAAAAGAACTGGGACAGGAACTTGGAATAAAATACTCATTTGAAGAATACAAAGATGCATGACCAGGATAGCAGTGAATCAGAGACATAAACTCATTTTTTCTTTGCTCTTGCAGAGTATGGAACACTTCTTAAACTGCTTAGAATCTTAAACCATAATTACAGTAGTAGGAGGGGCTGCTGTGAATCGGTGAGACTTCTTTGCATAAAGTGGAGGCTAATGGATTTATTCTAGTGAGGAATCTGGCCTGGTAGACCTAAAAAAACCATAATTAACAGATGCTAACAAGCTAATTATATGGAGTGATAAAGATTTTGACTAGAGCTTCAACTGTTAGATGAAGGCTGTTTTCCAGGCTTATTTTCTTAAAGATCATAAATGTTGAGCACAGATTTGTTATTATCCAAAAATGTAAATCTGGTGTTTCCAGAAGCCCATGAAAGTCAAGAGAAGACTTTCTGTGAAGTACAGGGTGCTTTAGATTGGTTTCTAAGGCTTTTCTGATTTCACCTGCCCAGGTGTTTCACTGGTCTGATCTTATTTACCTGAGTAGAGCTGCCCTTTCATTTTATGCAGAGCAAATCTGTGAGAGGAATCAGGCTGCACAGTGTGAAAAGCACCAGTCTGGGTTGCCAGGCAGGGTTCTGTGGCCCCCTACCAGATCAAAGACCTTTCCAATGACCACAGAGAGAAAAAAGAGCTTTAGATGTCTGCACATCACTGGAAAAACTAACATAAGCACTGTTAGAGGTTGTACAGATGCAGAGAATAAAATCTAGTGTGCATGTTGACCTTTCCTCAGCCCGAAGAACCTAATTCAACATGTATATCAAAAGGCTTTCAAATCCCAGACTTTGATCCCAATGCGTCAGTCTCCATGGCCCAACTCAATTACATCCTGCAGTGGTACTGCACAGCAACTCTGCCCCTTCAGGTGGTTTAGCTATCATTCAATGGTTACCTGCTTTTCTTCTGTTTACCAGGTCACAAAAACCTCAGTAAAATCACATTGTTTGGTTGGGGGTGGTGGGATGTGGGGAGATGTGTGGTAGGATGGATTTTCCTCTACAGCTAAAATGTACTGGACTTGATTTTTTTTTTTTTTCTGTTGTAGTGGAAAAAAACCTCTTTTTATTTGAGAGATTTTCTGCTTGCAGAATGTTTCCAGGAAATTCATACAGGCCCATGCCAATGTTTATTATTTGTAGAACAAATACAGTAAGGAGATAAAGATTTTAAAACGGAATGTAAAGCCAAAATTGATGGAAGGAGTTAGGCTATATAATGATCTCTCCCCACAATGCCTATAATAGTTTTATCAGCTAAACTTCCCTGTCTCCAGTGCATCGGGAGCTGATGTCTGGAGTCCTCAGTGATTTCTGTTATGCCATGAGTTTGCCTTGTCCTTGGGAGACTGAAGAAGAGTGGAAGATCCTTATCTTCAAGTGCAGGCTGGTCTCTGTAGGTTCTGGACACCCAGAAGTGGGGATTATGTGGTGGCGGGGAGAGGATGTCAGTGTCCCAGCGGGTGGGTGTCTCCATGAGTGCCTCTGGAGGGGGTGCTGGGAGGAGAGGACAGCTGCTACTGGAGGTGTCTTTGCATGTCTTCAGATAGACAATGACCGGAGGGATGTGGATATGAATGGCAACGATGTTGATGCTGAGAAGATGACTCGTTTCATTCGGATGAATGAGCTCCGCCTGGTGACAGAGTACAATCCTGTGGTAATTACCATCTCCCTGTAGCCCTCACCCTGGCACTAGGCCTCCTCTTCATGGGCGTCCTCTGGCCCAAGAGTTTTCACACCCAGATGTGTGAGACGGCTGCAGGAACAGTGTGGATGGGGTTGGGGAAGCCATGCAGCTCTTTGCTGCTACTTCATACAGGGACTGGAAGCAGATGCTGTGCTGGGATGTGCAAGTGGGATGGGGAGAGAAAGGGAGGCATGGAAGTTCCTTTAGCTTTCCAGTAAATTTGGGGTGTTGGTAGGCAGAGAGCTCCGTTTCTTACCACTGCTGACAGCAGTGCTGCTTCCTCCCATGGGCATTTGCCATATTGTGCCATCCCAGCAGACCCTGCTCAGCTAGGATCCTCTCTCTTTGGCTGAAAAGCCTTGAGGAACATGGAAACTCGACTGACCTACTCCCAGAAGGCAGGCTTTTCTTCATCACCCAGCTCACAGGGCTTGACATAAGACCAGCTATTTGAAGCCATATTCAAGAGCTGTCTGGAAACTTCCCAAGCAAAATTTTTCCCATCCCCTCTATCCCTTATTCCAGAATTCATCAGTTCAACAAAAAAAAAATTATCAGACATAGGATGCTTCCATGTTGACCATCTTCATTAGCTCACCAAGCGGACTGGTAGTGGCAGAGTCGCAGTGGTTCTTCCTGCTATAGGGCATGAACAACAAATAGACTCCTCTGAAATCTCGCCAATTCACTGGGCTCATTGCTGTGAAGTTAATAGGTCTTAGAAACCCTGATGGATGCAAAGCTGAGATTTTTTATTGCTTATGGGGCCTTTTGTGGACTTCTGAATAGCTACAACAGTGCTGACCAAGCTCAATTTAATCAAAGGAGAATGGCCCAACCTGTTTCAAAGCTATACCTTTTCAAGCTGATGCCAAAGATCAAATAAGAGGGCTGACTGTTCAGGTGCAGCCCCCCAGTAGAGAAAGCATTTTCTTTCGGAAATACAACATTTTGTTTCCAGAATGAAATACTCTCGAAATTTTTTTTTTTTTTTTTTTTTTTTTTTTTTTTTTTAAAAAAATATTTGTTTTTTCATTTTGATAAGGGATGTGAAAAATGCATTTCAAATCACTTATTTCTGGAGGCAGAAAAGCTATATCCTGCCCCACTGTCCTCACAGCCCTTTGAGAACACCCAAGTCCTGTTAGCAGGGATGTTCTTGTTATCTTTATAATTGCCCAGGCCTTCTGAACCTCCACTGCATCTTTTGGCAATTCATTATATCATGGGTCTTTCTTCATGCATTTCTGCTGATGCTTTGGGCTCTTGCTCCAGGGTGTCCTGTTTGGCACCCAGGCTGTCTCCCTGACCGAGAAGTTCTGAGCTGTTGAGCTGGTCCCCTCTACCCTAACTGGAAGTACACATGTTCCAATATTTTTCCCAGATACTCTGGAGTCCTATCAAGGTGCTGCAATCAACAGTGCCTCCTTCAGTCTCCATCCCAAAGCCCTCCCAGACCCTCTAACGTAGCCTGTTCTTTTGTAAATATTTGTTCCCAGTGCATATGTTGTTTACATCTAAGAATGCTGCCAGTTAGCGGAGGCTGGGGTCATACAGATCACACTGAGTGCTGCCAAGAGTTTTTCTCCCCATCTTGGGGCCCTTACTGTTTCTCCCACATACTTTAGAGGCATTTTTTAGGCAATGCTTACCCTGTGGGCTTTCCAGGAGAGCCAGATGTGACCTGGCCATGTTGATGAGCTCTGCTGATCGCTCTTGCACAGGGTTGCGTGGACAAACGTACCATTGTGTAGCTGCCTGAGGAACTGCTGCTCCAGCTCTGCCTGCTCACAGCCCAGCCTTGTCATGGCCCTTAGTACTGGCTGGCTTCACCCTCATCTTCAGACCTATCTCCTCCTATGAGGTCTTCTCTACTCTACTCTCCCCTGCTTCATCTGCACACCACTGGAGAAGTGGAGGAATACAAAATGTCTGATAAACATGAAGCTAACAGCAGAGTCCTGGCTGCCAAAACCTAGATGCTTTGTGGTGCATGGCCCTTGCTGGTATGCCCTTCCTGACCCTTTCCTTATTACTTGTCATGGTTTAAACCTGGCTGGCAGCCAACCACCATGCAGCTGCTTGCTCACCCCTTTCCCCTTCAGGAATGGAAAGGAGAAAATAAAGGAAAAGGCTTGGGAATTGAGATAAGGGCAGGGAGAGGTTAGTCACCCATTATGGTCATGGACAAAAGACAGTCTTGTTAGGAGAAGAAAAAGAACATCACTTTAATTTAAACACTAACAACAACAATTAACAAACAGAGTAGGACAGTCAGAAGTATAATCACATCTTAAAAACTCCTTCCCCTCATCCCTCACATCTTCCCAGGCTCAGTCTTCCTCCCAATTTCTCTACCTCCTTCCCCTGAGCAGTGCAGGGGGCAAGGGATGGGGGTTGAGGCTGGTCCCACTGCTCCTTCCTCCTCAGAGGAGGACTCCTCGCACACTTCCCCTGCTCCAGTGTGGGGTCCCTCTCATGGGCAACAGTCCTCTGTGAACTTTCTTTGACATGAGTCCTTCCCATGGGCTCTTCCTGAGCTGCTCCAGCGAGGGTCCCTCCCACATGTTGCTGTCCTCCCAGTGCCAAACTACAACAGTTAGGGCTACTTCTGACAGAGTCCCAGCCACCTTCTGGCACAGCCATCTGCTCTGGTGTGGGGTCCTCCACGGGCTACAAGTGGGTATCTGCTTCACCGGTGATCTCTGTGGGCTGCAGGGGCACACCCTGCCCTCTCACCATGAGCTGCAGGGGAGTCTCTGCTCCAGTGCACCTTCCCCCCTGCCTCCTCCTTTCTTCTGCTGACCTTGGTGTTTTCATAGGTGTCTCCTTCACAATTCCTCCTCACAACTCCCACTCCTCCTCCCAGGTTTCCCTTCTTAAATATGTTATCACAGAGATGTGGCCACCATCACTAATTGGCTCGGCCTTGGTGCAGAGGTGAGTCCAACCTGGAGCCAGGGGAGCTTCTAGAAGCTTCTCACTGGGGCCACCTCTGTAGCCCCCTCCCTGCTATCAAACACGAACCCCCCTCCCGAAACCCAACACAGTACTTCTGGAGTGTCTGGAAACTTTCTTCTTCCGCTGGTGGAAAGCTGCAGAGTCTGCACCTCTGTGGTTTTGGTGGCATCAGGGAGGCAGCAGGTCTGTCCCAGCTGCTGTTTAGTTTGAGGGAGAGGCTGCAGAGCTGCAGAAAGCAGGCAGAAGGATGAGGGAGATGAGTGAGTGAGTGAGTGAGTGAGTGAGTGAGTGAGTGAGTGCCTGAAGATGATGCAGTGGCTTCTTGGGCACTGTTAGCCCTGTCTACTCACAGAGGGACAGTGTGTGCTGCCTACTTGGCCCTTGCCCAGGGGATGAGGGGCAGCCAGCTCCAGGTCTTCTCTCACTGTGGGACTGCAGAGGCAATTTCAACCCTCAGCACTCTGGAATGCCCAGGCCCTGGGGTTGCTGAAACTTTGGACTCATCTCCATCCTACTCACAGCTTAATGCTAAAGAAAGGAAATAAAGGGAGACACCAATCCTGACACCACAAATCCTTCCCACTCTCTTGCTCCCATTTCAGCTGGGTGCTGGACCTCAGTCATTCCATGCACCCTTATGTTCAGTGTTTGCTCATCTTCCCTCTCCACTTGCTTGCTTCTCTAGGCTTCAGCTTGCTGTATCAAGGCAGCCCCCTTGCCTAGTCACTGACTATCCTGAGGCCAGTGATGAACCCTAATGGTCTTCAGACTCTTGTTTTGGGAATAACCAAAACCAGGAAGTTAAGTGCTTCTACAGAGAACCCAGACTGGATCCCTCCTGATTTAAAGAAAGCTGTCCTGCTTGTGGGGCTGATTTGCAAAGAAATCTCAGCTGGGACATGAGGATTGCTGTCCCTCTGGCAGTGCATCTGATACAGACTGAATGTTCTCAATTTTCTTGTCTGTGCCTTTTTCTCTCTGTGTCTGTGGGGGCTGTTTTTTCGGCAGACAGCAATAGGTGTGATGCAGAGTTCACTCCAGCTTCACCTCCTCCTGATCACAGACAAGATGTCTCCAAAGCACCCCGAGCACATGCGCAGATATCGGGCGGCAGCAGAGCTCTTCAGGGGGAAGGTAAGTCCAAACATAGAGGAAAGGGCTATTAGGGATTAAAAAAGAGAACAGTGATTTCTATAGTGGATATGGAGGGCGTAATCTCCTCTGTGCATTAGGACATCAAAGGTCAAGTGGCAGGAAAAGAGGATTAGCTAGATAATTAAGTGGAGGGGTTAGATCTGTTCACCTTCTGCCAGTTTGCCTCCTTGGGAAAATATCCTCTGTATCCTGCTCCTCTGCTCCCTCAGTGGGACATTATGTACTTCCTTGATTATGGTCCAATTTTGTTCCCTTGTACTGGGAAATGACAAACAGCTGCTGCGCATCAGTCTGGTGACTTGCATTCCACTGGTGTGAGAGGTGATTTTGTATATACAGCCTCAAGGTGCCAAGGAGCATTATATAAGTGACCAAATAGTAATTAGTGTCATGGAGCTTCTTAACCTTTTCCCTTCTGGTTGGATCCAGGGATAAATGGCTTTTTAAAAGGAATTTGCAAATGGGTTTGTTGGGTTTCCCACACTAAGATGATGGGATAGATGGGATCTTTCAGAGAAATTTTGCCTGATTCCCACCCCTCTGTGAACAGAGCTCCCCAAATAGTAAATCATCCCATGGCTGATTTTCTGCCAGCAGCTGGATTACGGGGGAATTTATGTCTGGAGAACAGAGAAAGGAACTGGCAAGCAAAGGAGGACTGGGACCAACAGGAAGCGTTTTGGGGCAAGGGAGAACAGCAGATGGGAGAGGGCAGAAGATCACAGCCGTGGGGAAGGTTGAACTAAGAGGCAGTGGAAGAGACCTTCCTGGGAGAAGTGTAGAGCTGGAAAGAGTTGGGGTTTGCAAGCAGGAACACCTGCATTCATCTGTTTGTGGTACTGAAGGGGAAGATTAAAAGTCAAGTATATCCTCATCTTCAAATGGAGGGGCATCCTTAAAAGTCCTGAGACTTGTTTATGACAGGACTACTTTGGACCTTGACATCTGTCCCACCCATTGGCAAGAGACCAAGCAGAAACAGTGCATCGAAGTCAAAAGATCACTTTGGATGTGTTTTGCTCTGATGAATACATAGTGATAAAAACCCCCTCATTTATCTGAAAAATTTGAGACATCTCATCTGAGTTGTGTGTTACAGTGACACCATTATCACTGTCCTCCATGAGCAGCCGAGACTGATACAGGTGTCCCCCAAGCAGCCTACTCTTCTAACACAGCACATTACAGTTTACTATTACTATCCTTTGCTGATGCAGCTGCAGCTAGTTTTCACTTTGTGTGATATGCCTACATCTGAGAAAATGTGAATAATTTTCATAGAAATACTTCACAAAACATTGGATAAAATGTTGTACTGAAGTCCAGATAGTTTATGAATTGACAGCAAATCAAAATCTAACTTTTTAAAATGCATGCAGGCAAGTTTCCCACTAAATCATTGTAGAATTTTGCCAGAGTGAAATATAGAGATGTAGGGATTTGACTGATTATTTCCACTTTACTGCAGTGGTACTGTAGGACACATAGATGAGTGTCTTAGATGAGAGACTTATTGTCTAATAAGTTGTTTTTCCTAAAGGAGTGGCACTCAGTAAACTGTGATTTGAACTGCCCTCTTACAAAGCAGTAAGAGAGTGCTAGGATCCCTCTATTTGGGTCTTAGATCTGGATAGTAAGGAGTAAGCAGAGTGATGTGCCCTCTTAGGTTTGTCTCCATTGCTCTGTCATGTAGAAAGACATGAATTAATTTGGGTATCAGGAGCAGCCACTGCACAATGCCATGGAAATCTCTGCTGGCTGATTTTTCTAAATGGAGTTATCTGTTGTCAGGACTACCAAGTTAACTCAGGTTTACTTTGAAACAAGTGAAGTATTGAGTATATTTTGCCTTTCTGTGGCTTGAAGGTTGTCCGTGAATAAATACAAGATTCTTGACTTGAATTTTTTTCAGGATTACCAGTGAATAATTCATAGCCTGAGGTGAAAGGCTTGTTTGTGCTGTGGGGTTAGTGCTGTCAGTGGTTTGAGCAAGGAATCATTGCTGTGCAGTGGAGAGGTGTTCAGGTTCCCTATGAGCATGTACCACTGCATCCAGCAGCATTTTACAGTGACTGCAGAGTGCCAGAGCAGACTGGGGAGACTCGGTGTGTGTTGCAACTTCTCTATAAACCAGCACAGAATACAGAACCTTGAGAGGGTTCCCAAGCAGGAGAAGGGATACTGATCCATTCACACATCTCTGCTGTACTCTGAGGGAAGAGGAGTCCTTCTCATTGTTGTCACCAGGTGGAGGGAGAAGAGAAACTTGTTGCTTGAATTTGTGGAGAGTTGAGGCGGAATTGTTGCTGCTTAGTGGTTGACCCCAAAGAGTGAAAAAAATAATGGAATCATAGAGTCATTTAGGTTGGAAAAGACCCTTAAGATCATTGAGTCCAACTGTTGATGGATCATGAGGAGGTGATTCACCTGCCAATTTCTGGATTATGGTCCCTTCATCTCTGGTTTATGATCATTTCATTTTTGCCTATGAGGAAACTGAGATTTTTAGCTGGAGGATCCATGAGGCTGTATAGTGAGGACTGTTATTTGAAAACAGCCTGAACTGCGCCCTGAGCAGCAGTGAGGTCTGAAAGCAGTCTAGATTCCTCGAGATTTTATTGTGGAACCTGGGGGCTATAACATGCTGGAGAGGAAAGTGCAAATGTTAGATAATGCTAAGACGGCAAGAGCTGTCAAGAATAAGAAGAAATATGGTATGTTTCTAGCAGACTTTGAGAAACAGTTGTGGGTGGGTAACAGTGAACAGATATCGCACAGAGCGCTGCAGCTGCAGGAGTGAATCCACCAGCCTTCTTGGAAGGATCCTACTGCAATCAAATATGTGCTTATTTGAGAAAGTACTGCCAAGACTCCAGGCTTTCTTCTGGAAAAGAAATGTCAGGGTTTGCATTGCTGAGCCAAACTAGCATAAGCATCTTGAGTTTTCTTTCCACAGTATCAGAGTGTAACATGACAGTTACAGCTGGTGTACCTCATGGGTGTCTGCAGAAATTTCATTAAGGTGATGCTGGAAATAACAAAAAAAGCTTTTGCTGTAACTGATACAACTGGTTTAAAGTGTCAAAATGATTTGGGTAGAGATGTTTGCAAAGTCCCTTTTAATTTATATGTAAGCCTCTTTAGAAATGGGTTCTGAAGAAACTCCTGAGAGTCCTTAAAGAGTTCTTCCATGGAGATGGAAGGACAGTGCCCTTTCTTTTGCAGACAGTCATTCATACACTTTATTTTTCTTGTCAGACATTGATGGCTCCAGAACCAAGAGAGATAATACTTAGAGATGCCTCTTCTAGCCATAAACAGGGGAACCTGTAAATATGGTTTGTCTGTGTCACTTAACAGATATCTGCAGTAAAGTTGTTTTTATAGCTTCCTTTTTAAAATTCATGAATGATGTTTTAATTTTGCTTTGATGTACCATGTAAGCTATGTACGAAATTACTCAAACTTCAGAATTTGATCCTTTTGCTTATACAGTCTCCTCAAAGAATGAAGGTTGCAGCTCCATGAAGTTCAAAGTCAAACACTGGATATGAGGCTTGATCATCCTTCCTGTTTGTCTTCATTAGAAGAAAAACTAAGCAACATCAGATTGGTTTCTAACATTGCGGTACTATTTTCGATTAACTTGGGCAATTTTCATTTGCCAATTTTGCAGTACTATTTTCAGTTCCTTGGGCAATAATATCATTCCGTATCTTAGTATTTACCAGGAACTTGATGTTCTAAAAACACTGGGCTAGGAATCAAGTTGGTGAGACACCAAGACAACACCAGTGTACAAAATTTTCTAATAGAGAGCTTATTGCAGGTGACAGTACACAGATAATATCATGTGTGGAGGGGAGAATTTGTGTCAGGAGTTCCTCATCCATGCAGGATATCCTTCACTGCCTGTAGCAGCAGACCTCTGAACACAGGCCAGAAGATTGCTACAAAATGAAACAATTTAATGGAAATAATTTCAGAACTTAAAAACCAGCCATTGTACAGGACAGTATGAAATAGAAAATGAACTTCCTGTTTGGGATGGAACTGCCTGGTTTCTAGCAGTACTGTGAGAGCTGCCATTATAAGTGGGATTTGTTTTGGATGATTATAGCTTTGGTAAGTTGTTTAAGCCAAGGCTTTAGGCTGTTCTTATCCCTAGCATGTCCTTCCTTTCCTTCTAAAATAGGTGAAATAAAGTACCTGTCACCATTTATTATAGAGGTTGCCTAGATGACTGTCCAAGACAAGACTAAGGTCTAGATGGAAGAAGTTAGGTAAGGTGAATTTTGTCTCACGGTCAGTATAATTTTCCATGGTCACCACATTCACTTTTTATGATTAGAGCTGGCTGGGAATCTCTGAACAAAATAAATTCCTCATGAGAAAATGCCATTTCTACCAGATGGCATCTACTGTGGAAGTGTCCCCATTGAGAAAACTGCTTGGTTTCCAGCTGCTGAGGAGACTAGGCTTCCAGTGCTTGTGGCCTCAGTACCACCACCTTACAAACTGCCTCACAGGTGTGACTTTGAGGCCACGCAGGCCTTGGCAGGATCCCTGGAACACAACCAGCATGGGATGTGTGGCCGGTCCTTTTGCTGAAGAAGGATTCCTCTCACCTCAGTACCTACCAGGAATGTGTCATTCTAAAGCACACTCTTTTGAGCAACAGTGGACAAATGCAATTGTGGTTTTGGAATATAAGAGGGGAAGGAAACTTTTGCTATACTTTGGCACTCTGTAAATCCGTGAGCCAAATGTGGGTCATTAGAGAGATCCAAGTCAGGAACTGTGAATGATGATACTTCAGACCTCTTGACTGAGGGGACAGTTGTTTCTGTGTTTTCATTTTCTTTTGCAAGGAAGAAGGTGTTTGGAGTTCTAAACACCTACTTTTAAATTCTTTTATTCTTACTCTATTCTTTGTATTTATGGATAAAAAGGTACAGCTTTTTAGTTTTGGGATTTTTAACAAAGGCTGGAAAGCTTGATAAAGTGAAGAATGTTGACTAACATTTATTTAGATTACCATTTAAAAATGCTATTAATCTGTTTGAAAGGTGGGGGAGATTTTGTGTAGAAAGTGACAACATTTAATAACCTAGATATGCTAAATCTTTTTTTGGATTAACTTCTTGTTTAACATTTGATTTAAAAAAGTTGTCTAGTGAAACTTTCATAAAGAAAACCAAAAGCTGGTGAATGAAATGGTGAAAATGTGATACCATTTCCTGTACCAACCCTCTGAAAGTGCTTCCCTCCAACACCGGCCTCTGTTTCCAGCTTGGTAGTTGGAAGGAGATGCCTAAAGCTTAAGTATTGCTGCTCCAGCTGAAAGCCTCTTAGATAAGATCCTTAGGCCTCTGATCCTTCTATAGCCTGGTGTTTTATCCTGCAAAAGAATGAATTTAACACTGTGGGAGAAGTTCCTCACAACCAGTCTGCTCGCTAGCTTGTTGCCCTTGGGGCACAGCTGACTTTTGAAAGAGAAACTGCAAGTGGTACATATCACATATCCAGTGAAAGCATTGTTCCTGTTTCTGTATCACAGTGATTAGCTGCAGTTAAACCTTACACCAGACTAACTATCCCTCCTCGCATAGGCTGTTGCCTAGGAAAGTTTCCATATATATATATATATATATATTAGAGAACATAAATTTAGTAAAAATTTTGAGATTTACCAAGTTTATTTTCAGAGAAGAAAAAAGTTTTTGAACTAACTTGAGTGTTCTTGTTTGAAAAGAAAGGAAAACATGAATCACAGTCTGGGAACTGGGCACATCATCACATTGCATTACATTTCTTTTTTTCAGTTCTTCTTTTTCTTGTGTAAGGTAAGTCTTATCCATGACCAGAAGTACATTCAATATGCTAGGCCCAGTAGACTGCACAGCATAAAGAGAAGATAAAATGATGCATGTTAGCTGGATGTTTGTTTCATTGACTTGGATGTCACCTGCCAAGGGATTCTGTTTAATCAGGTCACTGATTACATTGCTCAATTGCTGTATTTGTTTTCTTTTTTACAATTTATACATAATGTTTGTGTTTAGTATTAACAGATAATTTAGGAAAGATTTTTGAGATAGCCATGTATTTTACTGATAATCTTTAAGATTCCAAAATTTTAAATTTGTACTAATTCTTACTGTAAGGTCTCGGTTGAAATTTACACTTAAAATAAAATCATGGAATTGGTCACCAATTCTGATAAATCTGTTCTATTGAATCCTAATCCTTGGCTTGATCTTACTCTCCAAGGATATTCAGGATCTCAGAAAACTGTAGGTCATTATCATCCTGGCTTATTCATTGTTGGGCTTTTCTCCCCAGGTCTGAACAACCTTCCACTGAGCTGGGCTGTATGGACATTGGCGTCTTGCCAACGCCTCCTGTTTCCCGAATGATTGCGTCTTCATTTCTATTCACTGCAGCTCACTTAAATATGTCCTTTGTGTTTGGTACTTTTATGTTCTTATGCTTGCAGGTTCCCACTACCCTGTGCTTCACTTCCACATTCTTGCAAATTGAGTTTGACTCTCCACACACCAAACCACCTTTTTACTATGCCACTCTGGGTCTTGCATGGATGTGAGCATCTTATCCCAATAATATGCAAGTGGAGGAGTCAGTTTCTTTTACATGTACCACTAAGATAAAAGACATCTTGTTTCCTCATCTATTAAGAGAATATAAGTGGAGACTGCCTTCCTGACATACTGTAGATGTATTTTTAAAGAAGGTGAAAGAAGATATTTTGTCTGGTAATGTAAGTCTGGACTTGATAAAATACAGAAAAATGCACTGCATGGGGCAGTTAGATAGTGGCAGAGGAAAGTGTTGTCCTAACAGGGTATGGTAGGTGTTCTCTAACCCTTTATAAAAATATCACTATTAATCTTAACATGATCACCATCTGGGGATCTGTTTTCTCTCTCAGTCTCTGTTTTGCTCATGTTTCCATCACAGATTCTCTTTATCCTGATAGACAGCAATCTGAAAAGCAATGAACGAATAGTGTCATTCTTCAAACTGAAGAAGTCCCAGCTGCCAGCTCTGGCTATGTTCCATGCACCAGATGAGGAGCAGGATGTGTTGACTCTGGATGAAGTCTCTGTTGAGCATATACAGGACTTCTGTAATCGTTTCTTACAAAGAATGCAGAAGGTAAAGGGGGATTCCTCTACAGTCTACAAGAAGCTGGGATCTTGTAGGATGATGCCGTTGCTCATAATGCTCTTGAAGAAGATGACTTCAGTTCCTCGAATTCCTCCCCAGCCCTGTCACCTTCTCTTTCATTTTCATTTGCACCTGAATATCAGAAAAGCATTAGATCTAGAGCAGAGGTGGATGTCTTTGCAGAGCCTCTTTATTCATTAACTTCTACCTTCTAGTGTGCATCAAGAAGACTTCACTGACCCCTGCAACTGTATGAAGGTCTCAGTGAAGCATCTATTCTCTGGGAACAGCAGCTGGGGAGACAGAGTGAAGGGTGCTTTTGGACATTGAGAATGGGGGTGGTGGTGGCAGCCCACAGGAGAGGGCCATTGAGACAGTAGCATGGATAGGATGGAAATCTATCAAGAAGACTACAGAACAGAGTCTACAGACAGAAGCTTAGGACTCTACCAGAGGTCTCTGATGGGAGAGGGACAATTTAACTTCCATGTTCGTTCAGTGTTAAGAGTTATCTCTTTGTCAAAGCTCATCTTCCTGTAGCACAGAGGCTTTTTGTGTGAGAACCCTGTGTTGTGCAGTTGGAATGGGATAGGCAGGGCAGTGGCATAGACAGCAGAGTGAGGCATTTAAGTTGGTTTGTTTTCTTTTATCACTATGTTGAGAAATGAAGCAACGTCAAAACTGATTTAATGCCTCTAATGTGTTTTAGAAAGAAGACGAACCTGAAGAGAAGGCCCTCAGTGAGGAACTCTGATTATTTCTCAGTCAACAGGATGACTGTGCCTAGAGTCATCTATTTCTGGTGTATGAAGAGTTCACTGAGCCCTGCAGCTCATGGATTTCTGGAGTAGTAGGATTAAGAGGCCAAGTCAGCCATCTCCATCTCCATGTCATCTCCATATATGCTCTCTGTCCTCTAGGAATCTCTTCTCCCTTCTCATTTTTTGGCTTCAGCTCTCTTTTCTTAGTACTCAAGGAGCTCTGGTATTGCCTTACTCTGTGTCCTTCCATGCTACCTCTGTTGGAGCAAAGGGTGATATAGCAAAACGGCACTATGGGAGATAAAGCTTGTAATTCCCAGAGAGATCTGTTTCCCTCATTCTCTTTGCTTTTGGTGCCATGCTGGGATCCACTGTCAGCTTCTTCTGACACTAGGAATAGATTGGTTGCTTGATGTCACATGAACTTTTCCATTCATTTTACTAAATAAAGCAGAAAGTGAATAGCTTGATTTTTTATGCAAATATGTGATTTCCCACTCCCCATGTCTTTCACTTAAGGACAAAGCCTGTTTATTTCTGAGTAGGTTAAAAAATCTAATTTATCTGAATTTAACCAGGCTTGCAATGCCTAACAGTCAGTTTGGTTGCTAAAAATCACTCCCCATGGAATTGGACCCATCATCAACAGATGCTTCCACAAGGATGAGAGATTTCTGTGAAGGTTTGGGGTCAGAACAGCACTGGGTATAGCAGGTCTGAGCTGGTGCAGCATAAATGAATGATCCCAAGATGCAGATTGAGGCTAAGAGGAATGAGAGCTGTTTCAAAAGGGTGGTAGAAAGTTGCATTGCAAGATGGGACATCTACACTGCATTAGAGGGAAAGGCTAATGTCTGTGTATTGACCTCAGAATCCCTTAGAGGTCCCCCAGTGGTGGTGTACAGGGGATGGGGACTTCACAGGCGAGGCATTTGAGCCATCTGTGGTCTGCTGTACTAAATCCATGGAGTAGGCTTGCCTCATACTTGGCTCACCATCCTTTGGCATGGAGTATGGATGCTCTGGTCAAACAGTGATTGCATTGTCTCTCAGGGCTTGAGAAACTTGGCTTGGGACGTGGAGCCTAAGAGTTGTAGAGCTGAGAAGCCTCAGGCCTTTCTCAGAGACTAGCACAAGGCAAAGAACTGGGAATAGAAAGTTGTTCTTGTGGGTGAGGCAAACGCAGCTCCCCACCACAGAGGGAGAGAGAAGTCACGAGCTGGAAAGGATGCAAAGTAACTGCTAGCCACCATGATGAAGGCCACAGCAGGGAGGGTCTCAGTACAATAGAGAGGCAGGTGCCAGGCCTTCGCTAGCTCTTGCTTCTTCCATGTGAGTCAAGCTGATGTCTTTCATCTCCCTAAGGCTCTGTCTCCCATGCAGCTGAACTTACCTTCTTTAGTGCTCTACTCTTCTTTCTCCTCTGCTTACCTAAAGCAAACCCCATACAGTAATAGTTAGTACGTGGAATCAAAATTACAGCACATTTCCAAAGAAGAGTGATATGACCAAAAAAGCATTCAGGATTGTGCCTTGTGTTGGCAAGGCCAGGAACCTGTCTCCCTGCACAGGGAGCTCTCCCCTAAGAGGGCAGTGGGAAATACGGGGTATCAGAAGCTCCATAGCTAATGCAATAGCCAAGAATTGTTTTCTAAATGAGGCAGTTCAGAAAAGAGCAGGAAAAGAGAAAAGAGCAGGAAAAAGGAGAGGAGAGGAGAGGAGAGGAGAGGGAGGCAAGCCACCTCTGTCTGTTCAGTTCTCCCTTTGTCACAGCTGAGTGCTCCCTAACCTCTGGTTTACATGTGGCGTGTGAGAACCTGGATAACACCGAAATAATAACACCGAAGATGTCAAGGGAGAGGCAAGTTTGGGGCATTGCATGCTGCATGGCTTCTTTGTTTAGGCTGATAAAAGTGAAGGCACCTGCCCTCAGCCCATAAAACTGTTTTACTCGGGTGTACTCTATTCTGAGCCATTTTGCAGTGACTTTCTGCTACAAGCATGTGGTCCCAGAAGTGGGGATGTCACAGCTGGAGCCTACAAGGCCATAAGGCTTAAGCCATGGTTGTAGTGTTCATAAAACAGCTGGAGTAAGCTACCTCTGCAGACCTCTTAAGTGCCCTTTTCTCTGAAGCCTGAGACTGTTCAGGGTAGTTCACATACCTGCCACTGTGGTGCATTGGATTTACATGCTAGTCCTGGAACTGCAAGTGAAGACGGTGCTTGGCGGCACTCTTTTTCTTGGGGAGCCTTGCCTGGGTAGCATCACGTGGCTGTGATGCAGCCTCTCTCCTCGGTGAGCTGACTCAGGAGATGCTGTTGGTGAGCAGAGCAAAGCATGCCCTTACCATCGGTGGGGCCAAGGAAGAGAACTATTTGCACCAGATGACCTCTTGAATGAATGTGTGTCTAGTGGCAGTATATATGTCTAAATCCTGCTGGATGCTTTTGTGGATTTTGCACATTGAAGAAGGGCTGCAAAAATATGGAAAAGATGCTGAGAGCAGGAGGCTGAGCCCCAAAGAAAGGGAAAGGGTCTAAAGTGTCAGAATGCCTCACTGCTTTTGGTGGCTGAGCCCCTGGATGTGGGCAGAGGTTGCAGTGCTGGACTCCAGATTGTGAATGAAGCCTTGACTTTGGTGTTGGAGTTCCCTGTGCAGTGTATGAGGCTTGCTAGGCTTTTGTGTGCTCTGTGTGAGGGGCATGATGGAAGGAGGATCAGTTGCCTCTGACCCTAGGGCTGTGTGGGGGTGTGAGCACAGGGTCTCAGCCCCTCTGAAGCACTGGGGAGAGAGAGGGTCTCATCCCAGACTCTGTCACACACTACAGCTTTGAGGATCAGAGATGACTCACTTCATGCTGGCCCAAAGCCCAGGCAGAGCAAACTCACACCTGCCTTCCAACATCCCCATGTCAGTGATGTGTGATGATTTTGAACTCCCAGTTTTATACCAGTCCTAGAATATGCAAGGCTATATGTCCCAGCAAGAGCCCTGTTTGCTTTCCCTGAATGGAAAGTTTTCTTTTTTTATGGCTATAGCTTGTTCCTTCCTAGGAAGGCTTGCACTGCTTTCTCTGCAGTAAGGTAAATTGGGAAGGTCTTCTGCAGAGACACCTACGAGGAGCCTTGGTGTAGTAGATGTTTCCAGTGTCACGCACCTCTGTGGTCCAGACCAAACAATGTGAGGGGAACTGGCCTGCTGCATGGGTGTCTGAGGTTCGTGTCTTGGCCCTGTGCAGACAGAACAGCTGTATGAATTGGGCACAGTGACGTGACTCTTTCTCAGTGCTGGAGGGAAACAAAACAGGACATGTATGAAGGTCTGGTTCTGCAAACAAGCCTGCGAGCAAAAGCAATGTCCCCAGTGACTGTGTTCACTGTGTACACAGCTAATATAGGGACAGCTTTTCAGGAGCTTCATTATGTACACTGGGGAGCTTAATTCCCCCTGGCTTTCCAGAGCTCTACATCTAACCAACAACTTTGGGAGCCATAAGGCAGCCACAGGAAAAGCCTCCTCCTCCTCCAGCTGCTCTGCAGTCGTGTCTGGAACTTGGACAGTACGGACAGCCCCAGAGTGCTACACTCAGTACAGACAGCCCTGGGCGCAGATGGTGGTGGTGGTGGAGCCAGGGGGTCTGCCTTAATCCCAGTGCTCAAAGGCTTCTGCAATGCACATTTAGTGGGCTTAGATACTGTGATGGGACATCCAAGGTAGAAACCAGAGGCAGAATCTTGTGTTGTTTTATTTTGGGTTTTGTCCCCCTTGTGTTATCTCTGACTTGAATTTGGATTGTACTTGGACCAGATGTTTTGAGTCGACCGGGGAGTCTGGGCTTGTTTTTAAGTGGAGGAAGTGCTGAATGTGAAATGATGGAGTGGAGGATGAGGGGGTTCCCTTTCCCCTCAGTATTGTGGGAATACCGTGGTGTGACACCCCTGCTCTGCAGCAGCACCTGAAATCAAGGGACATTGAAAATAGCTAAGATAGCAGCTGAGCCTGTTTGACAGCAAATCAAGGCTGTGGAGGTGTGTAAGAGCTGCTATCTTTACCCCAGTGATCAGGGAATTGGGTTGCACTGTGGAAGATGCAACTTTGCATTCATTCTTAGTGAGAAAGGATTTAAATGCCTTCAGAAGCAGAATGTTACAAAGACCTGGAGATTCAGCAAGGATACTAACATTTCTGTGTTTCCCCCCCTGCACTGCTGCATATGGCATAAAGTAAATCACCGTTCTTTAGAGCTGAAGGCTGGGTCCCAGGAGTGCTCCTCACATACCCTACCCAGGCAAAAAACAGCTTTCAGGTCCTAGTGGCACCATTGAGCTCTCCTAGGCATTTCCCTTTGGTACTTGCAAGTACTCTAGGGATGCAGAGGTTTATGGTACAGCCCTTCCCGTGGCATTTTCTCCTAACTGGCAGGGTGTTTCCCCATGCACCTTTCATCAGCACCTCTTCTGGATACACACATCCCTCAGGAGTCTGACTCTGGGTTAGGAATGCCACTAGGCAGCAAGAGATCTAAGGGGTGAGCTGGTCCTGATAGTTGCTGCTCTTCTCTCGTGAAGTCCACAAAGCAAGGCTCAGATCTCTGGTGCTTTTATCACCCTCTTTTTCAGCAGCTGATACAGTGCCATCTTCATGTAAATTATAATGAATGTCAGCTTGGGCAAGGCTGTTTGGGGAAGGGGGAGTTCAACATGATATGTGTGGTGTATCAACTGTTGGGGTTGCCATCTCTGCTCACTTCTGAGCACAGAATTTGTTTCCTCCCTTTAGTGTAGTGTGGGCCTAAGCCAAAGTCTGAATACATAGATGCAAGGAAATTAGACCTCTGAACTAGCCCCCCTCTGCTGCAGGTTGAACCAAGACTTTCAATAAGAACATCTCTGTACCTCAACTTTGTTGCTCCAGTCCCCCCTGCACATGAAGTGCTGGGTCTGGCCAAGCCACAGGGAGTCAGGGTGACAGCAGAAGACCAGAACAATCTTTGGCACCTACTCTGAAGAAGAGGAGCAGGCCCTGACCACTGTATCTGTCTGCTCAAGATTTCTTTTGCTCTCAGTGGTGCCTGGAAGATGCTGAGAGGCCTCTGACTGTCAGCATGAAGGGAAGTGACACCTCCCAGGGCTCTCAGCCCCAGTGCCTTACGTGTGCAGGGAAGCAGGACAGCCACCAGTGCAGCGAGGCTGCCTGGCTTGCTCCCCAGGCAGGACTGAATCTCTTGCCTTTCTTCTAGAGACCATGCTAGGCACCAGGCTTGGTGCCTACTTGCCAATTTCGAATAAAAAATTTTTTAAATCTCTATGTTATATGCCAGAATAGCTGTCACAGGATGAACTTTATGGTGCTCAGGTCAGATCCCATCTCACTCACAGAAGTCCAGCACTGAGCTGGGCCTGAGTTCTCAGGACAGGGAGGAGATAGTGAAGATTTAGTGTAAGAGATGGTA